TTACTTATACTTACGTTTTACTTATGCATGCCGAACGTATTGGAAATTATTCATTACAATATGTTAGTGAACTAACAGATAATAAAACAGAACATTACAAACAACTATCACAACTAGTAATTAATGCTCTGGATCGTATGATCATGCAGTCAGATTTCCGGGATGCATACCATGGTGTTAAGGTGACTCAATTTGAGGACGATCACAAAGGCAATCACGGTATACTGATAAACGTCCTGATGCAGGTATTTTATGACATTTACATATAAATAATATTATTAACGATATGAACCGTAATTATAATTAATTTCAGTTATCTGACAACAGCAATGAAAAACGTTTGGAAGAAGTTTTCAAAAAACACTTGAGGGTAAGCAATTACAGCATTGGAGGGACGGATCTATATACAAACAAAGCCGGTGTAGATGCTTTGGCTATAACAGGTTTCTATTTATACATATATTTATTATGTTTTATTTTTTAAGATTTGTAATTCTCTGATTTTAGATTTCAACGAATGCTTAAGTAGAAAGCTTCACGATTGCTCGGAAAATGCTCATTGCTTTAATTTGCCTGGAACCTATACATGCAGCTGTGTGGAAGGATTTGCCGATCTATCGGATAATCCTATTTACCCTGGTCGTATATGTTCCTCTGAACAGATCGGCTGCGAAATGTGTCATTATCATGGCAAATGTTTTTATTATAGTTCAACTGTGCTGGCAAATTCCATAGATCGCAATTATTGCGAGTGCTTCCCCTGGTATGCGGGGTCGAAATGTCAAGTCAATTTGAAAATTTTATTAATTGTTTTATTAGGCATCGGCACATTATTGTTCATATTATTATTATTCTGTGTTTTAATAACTTGTACAAAACGCCGCAGCCATCTTCAACATACTGCTCTGGCTCCTTCTACTATGACCTCAAGCAGTGAGGGTTTGCAAAAAAATTCTCGAGTTACTAGCAATAAGCTAATAACTGGCGTTGGTCTTCACAGTTCAATACGAGACGCCAGTCTAAAGAACAATAAGCGACAAAAATGTATTAAAATAGATAAACGTTCAATGATTAAGGATTCGAGTAGTGAAACCAGCCAAAACTCTTTGCCATATGTTTTAAAAAATGTAAGTATTTTGAAACCTTTTTAAAAATCACGATGTTATTGATTTATGATTTAAGTTGATCGATATTTTTGATTATGATGTCAAATAATATCTTATAACGTTATTTTTATACCCACCATCATTCCGTTTGTAACACATCGAAATATTGGTCATAACTACTCCTACAAAAGTATATACATTCTGTGTACTCATTAGATTAAAAGATAATACAGTGGGCAAAATAAATATATAGTCTTGCACCGTTTTCCAAGTTTTGATGTTTTTACAAAGTATTTTATATATGTAGGATCCGTACTATTTATTAATTCGTTATGTTGTCTATGTCTTTTCATAATTAAAGCTCAACTTTGTTTTTAAAAAAAAGTTCGCAATTCACGACGTTATTGATACTTTTCTTAATAGAAAATTGTTTAAAAACTGATTTTCTCAAAGATGCTTTATTTGGGGGATTGGGTTAAATATTACATAAAGTCTGGGTATATTAAAGTTATTTTTCTAGAAACTTTGAATTTTTTTTAAAGTTTTTACTACTTTTTTGCCTACTTCTGTAGATATTTTATAATTGAAGGATGCGAATAAGGGCGTAAAGATCACTTTTACCAAATCGCGTTTTCTGAACAGTGTTCATCTAGTCTATTTACATCTATTTATGAAGAGTTATCTCTTCAGGAAAATCCAAAGTTTTTGCCAAAATATTTAGCTTTAATAGCACGTTTTTGTAATATTATTATTTTTTGTGAAAAATGGTATAAATAATTATTATAATTGCATCAAATTTACAGAATAGGACAAACACATTCCAATTCTATGAATTCCTTAAATATATTGCAAAAATTTACTGAAATTTTTCAGAGGGATAGCTATGAATGGTATTTGAGGATACATTTAAAAATTTTATCAAAAATATATAATTTAAATGTTTTATGATGTTTATATGCTCTCCTGTAAAATTTCCCAAATGGTTTATTCGCCCTTATTCGGCTCCTGCTTCAATTGTTGGAAATAATAGCTTTTAGGCTTCAAAATGGCCTCCGGTAGGTTAATGGTTAGTGTCCTGAGAAACACACAATAGGCCCGATAGAAGCCTAGGTGTATTTCTTCGGATTTATTTATACATCCTACTTTCAAACTAACTAACTTATTATGCTTCAAAATAATGTAAAAATTGGCTGCTTGACTTCCTGCCCCTTTCGCGAAAAGTGAATAGGTCGCGACAAAATCTCGAAGTTAAATATTTAAAGTTGCCAAATGGACTGTAGCTGTTATTTCCAAAATATATGAATTTGAATATTTACTTTATATGGTCGTTGTCTCTTCCACAACTGGTAGTCCACCCATTTTTTCCAACGAATATGATAGTACCGGTTCTCGCCTATATTTGCTTTAAAGATTTATGCTGGTATATATAAGTTTGTCATTCCGTGTGTAACACTGAGACATATTCATCTAAGGCCCAACAAAGTATATATATTCTTAGTCCTTATAAAATTCGATTTAGTCGATTTAGCTATGTCCGTCTGTCAGTTAAATATCATCGCCCAACAGCATTTTTCACACACGAACCAAACCATATACATACATACGAAAGCATATAATTTATGTGGTATAATTGCGTACTCAGTTTTAATTTTCTGATCGTTTGTCCTTTTTAAAAGACTTTAAAATTTGAGTTACATACAATTTTCAAAAATTGTTATAAAATATTTTTAGTCATCCTATTGTAACAATATGGGTATCAAACTAAAAAGGACAATTCTAATATTTATATCTTGCATTTTGTATTATTTTTAAAAATAAAAATATATAAAAATTTAAAAATTGAATCCTTGAAATTTTATAATCATTTTTTTCAAAAAATATATTTATAAAAAAGTTATTACAAGAATGTACATCACTTTCAAATTTGGTGTTCATTTTTTAAATTATCCCAGATAATAAATTAATAAATTTTTCACGTCATAAAACTTCAAAGAAAATAATATAAATAAATACGATATAATTAAAAAAATAATGTCGAAAAATGTGTAGGATATGAAAGTATAAAATCCATTAAGGATATTATTTTATTTTTTATCATGTTATGTTAAAAATACTTTCTGTGGAAGAATGTTGGTATTTACCACTTTCAATTGATAACACCGTCCAACACCATTTTTCACACATGAATCAAACCATATACATATGATAGTGCATAATTTATGTGGTATAACTGCGTACTCTGTTTTTCATTTTCTGATCGTTAGTCCCTTTTTAAGGACTTTGAAATTTGAAGTATTTACAAATTTCAAAATTTTTTTTATAAAATTTTTTTAGTCACCCTATTCTAACAATAGAGGTATCAAATAAAAGAAGACAATTCCAGTAATTATGTAGCATTTCATTTTATTTTCTAATCATAAAAAATATATAAAGAATATCCTTATAAAAGTTTATCCTTTATTATCCTTGAAATTTTATACAAAATTGTTCAAAAAAATATCCATAATAAAGACATTAGAATGGAGTACAATAGTCTCAGATTTGGTCTTCATAGCTCCATTATTTGTTTAATTTTTATATATATTTTTTAAATTATATTTTAGAATCAATTTTCATTATTGCCATGATAAAAAGTTAAAAAAAGTGGAAACTTTGAAAAATATGAATAGATGAAAAACGATTAAGGATATATTTCATTTTTATCCTGTCACGTCTCAAATTTAGTCTTCATAGCTCCATTTGTTTAATTTTTTTAAATTATATTTTAGAATCAATTTTCATTATTTCCATGATAAAAACTTAAAAAAAGTGGAAACTTTGAAAAATATGAATAGATAAAAAACGATTAAGGATATATTTAATTTGTATCCTGTCACGTTAAAACTACCCTCTGAGGAAATATGTTGACATTTTCCTCTTTAATTTAACATAATTAGGCATATCAAGTGCAATTAGTAAACCACGATATATATTTAAACAAGTAGGAAAGTATAGACGTACACCAGTTGCGAGTTTATTTATAATGTGATTTATTTTAGCAAAATATTTTTTATATATGTTGAATTTTATTTCAATTATGACATATTGAAGAAAAACAAATTTTCTGAAAGATGACTGGTGTCAAATACGGGCCGGTTATCAAAAAGGACCTTTTTATCCTTTGATATAGCTCACCAAATATTGATGCCAGGACAAAAATTTTGAGAAATGGTATCTTAGAATCAATTAAACTTTAATTTTAGTTGGGAACATAAAATGTATATAGGGTAATTTCAACAATTTTCGAACAAAAAAGTAGGATTTCAAAGAAACTCGGTTCACACATTCTTCATGTAAATACGGAATTTAAAGTTCTCCAAAATTTATAAATTCGTTACGGTTCAGATTTTATTCAGGTTCAAAATTCATATTTTTTTGGATTTTTTTCAACAAGCATTAAATTTGACATCGTATATTTTCTAAACTATTTATCCAATTTTAATCGCTTTAGTCCCGAATTAAAGCCTTGTCTTGTAGTTCAACAATATTTTATTTAAAATGCTACAGTTTTCACGTTCGAAATTTTTGAAATGTCCCTATATGTATTTCATGTCAAATTTACAAAATTTGTTTAACAAAGATTTAAAAAAACTGAAAATGATGTTTTAAAACTGCCGTGTAAAAAATATTTTTTTTATCATAGCTGAGAACAGGTCCACGATATCTTTTAAGGACAAAAACTTATATTCGAGTAAATATAGATATATTTTCCAAAATAAGTTAAATTTTTTTCCACATTTCCTAATCAAGTGCTCTGAGACACATTAATAGCCTGGGGAATTTTTAATATCTTTTTAACATAATTTAATATTTTTTCAACCAATTTTCGTGTTTTACATCTTTTTGAAATACCAAATCTATGTACATTATGAATCTTTAACAATAAAATGTACAAATATTTACCTAATAGCAACATTTATCACATAATATAAAGATGTACGACAAAATCTGTTGTAACTCTGTTTGACTTAAAGCAGCAAGAATTATGTATATAATATCAATTTTGAAGTACAATATTAGATTTATTTTGAGGTACTAAGCTTGTTTCTTTTATTTACCGTTCTAGAGTTATAGCTTCATATGTTAACTTTTTGCCCAAAAGTTTGGATTTTTTCAAAATATGAGCGACGAGCGGCAACTCTTAACGTCTATTAATCGTTATATATTGTGGCTCTATGACCAATATTTCAATCTGTTACAAACGGAATGACAAAATCAATATACACCCCTTTTGTTGTGGATGGTGAAAATGTTCAATAGTGATGTTTATTTTGTCACATTATATTATTTATTTAGATACTTTAGTGTACTTTAACTATTGTGAGTTTTAAATCTAAAAACAATTTTATTTTATGTAATTTTTTATCAATTATGTAAATGTTTGTTGGCAAGATTAAATGCTTGCGCAACATAATTTTTTGTGAATTTATGGTGTAGGATAACGCTAATCAAATATTATTTTAAATTCACAATATTGTGGTTTTATTTTCGAAAAAAAAAAAACAATAATAAAAAACAAGTGAGAGTGTTATATTCGGCTGTGCCGAATCTCATATACCCACCATCAAACCGTATGCCTTAAAAGGAATGCTCCCCTATAAACATCAAATTAACTGAAGAAGACCTTATATGAGGGATAGGGTTAATAATTGACCGTTTTTCATAAAGTTTTTACACCAATTTAGGTTCAAACAAAACATATTTACATCGAATATCACTTCCCGACACTTTCGTATAAAATTCGGTAGGAAGATTTACGTTCCTGTAAATGTTTCTTATATAAAATTTCATAACTGTTCACGTATTTTTAAGTCAGCAAAGATCATTAAAGTAATTTTCTTATGGACCGATCCTCAATACATTTGGTAGAGAGATTTGAACTCGTATAAAAATATGCGTGTCGAATTTCATCGCTTTTCTGTATTCTGCATTTTTAAGCCAGTAATGATCGTTTAAGTAATTTTTTGAAGGGCACCTTATATAGGGAGTAGGGTCAATTATGGACCGATCCACATAAAGTTTGATAGAGAGATTTTGGCTTCATTGAAACTTCTGTGTGTCGAATTTCATCACTATACTCGTATTTTTAAGTCAGTAATGAGTTTTAAAGTCATATTCTGAAGGGGACCTTATATGGTGGTTACGGTCAATTATGGACCGATCAACATAAAATTAGGTGGGGAGATTTTGGATCATATGAAACTTATGTGTGTTAAATTTTATCATTATACTCATATTTTTAAGCCAGTAATGAGCGTTAAAGTAATTTTCTGAAGGGGACATTATATGGGGGGTAGGGTCAATTATGGACCGATCCTCATAAGATTTGGTAGAGAGATTTTGGATCATAAGAGACTTTTTTATGTCAAATTTCATTGTTGTACTAGTATTTTTAAGCCAGTAATGAGCGTTAAACTCATTTTTTCAAGGGGACCTTATATGGGGGGGTTAACTATGGACCGATCCACATAAAACTTGATAGAGAGATTTCGACTACATTGAAACTTATGTGTGTCGAATTTCATTACTATACTCGTATTTTTAAGTCAGTAATGAGCGTTAAAGTAATTTTCTGAAGGGGGCCTTATATGAGGGGTAGGGTTAATTATGGGCCGATCCTCACAAAATTTGGTAGGGAGATTTTGGATCATATGAAACTTATTTATATCGAATTTCATCGCTATACTCGTACTTTTGAAACAGATTTGCCCATTAAACCTGTTGTTCGGGAGTCCACTTGTATGGGGGCTATCCGAAAACGTGGACCGATGTTTCCCATTTTCAATACCAAACAAACCTTATATTTGTGGAAAATTTCAATCCTCTATCTCGTTCCTTTCGGACTCTATCGTGCTTTCAACAGACAGACGGACGGACAGACATGGCTAGATCGTCTTAGAATTTGTGGGTCTATGATCAATATTTCGATGTGTTACAAACGGAATGACAAAATCAATATACCCCTCATCTTTTTTGATGGTGGGTATAATGATGACATACAATTCACCGATTGTGAATTGGACAAATATTTCTTATTTAAAATATCATTAACAATTACTTTTTGAAGAAATCAAACACTTCCTCCATTGTTTATCCGATTTTATAACTTTTTTACTCCAGTTAATCTGAGATATTATCGAATATAATTAGACCAATTAAAAGCAAATCTATTTACTTGTACACTCTTTAATTTCAGAAGGAATCAATTTCAGGAAGCTGTAACAAGAAAAAAATATGTCTTAACAATAATAAAACCTATAGAAACTATGGCTCTCAGGGAAACCCAATGGAACAATATTCTGCTTCTGCTGCCACAAATGTTCAAATAGAAAATCAAAGCCATTTAAATGCAGTTATCACGTCTTCGTCTTCGTTCACGGGTAACAATCAACAAATTGATAAACAAAATTTACTGGGAAATACAACCGAATACGAGGGACATTACTGTGAGCAATCAGATCGTAGTTTGACTGTAATGATTCCAAGAGCTAAATATCACTCATCTGTCCTATCTCAAACCCAACTGATGCATCATCAGTTGACTATGGAAAGAGTCTATAAAACAGCTAAGCCTAAAAATAAATTAATAATTAGTGACAAAGATTCAACAGAAATTAAAAAAAACTATGTAAGTAGCATTAATTTTTTTCTATAACATGCAATATTAACTTTTTTCTATAACATGCAATTTGTTAGAAATTCCATAACAGTTTAAGATAATGTAATACAAATGCAAAAATGTTGGCAAACATATTTTTCTCATATAGAAAAAGTAATATTTATACAAAATTTCATCGCCTTTCGTGTGGGAACTTTTTTCACGACCTCGAAAAAATAATATATTCCTTAACATCTGTTCACGCCCTACAAGGTTTTGCTATGGTATTTTTGATATTAGCAAAAATGCAAAAAGTCATACCCTAATGTACATATTTTTGTATCAAAACCTAAATCATTAGATATACAGTGACGTGCAAAAGTGTAACATGAATCACGATGGTCAGAAATACCATAATTTTTAAATACGAGAAGAGAATTGAAATACCTTTTCTGTCATATTGTTTGTTGACCTCTTCCTAATAAATAGTATTTTAATGGAAGCCTAGATATTAATAGAAAATGTGTACAAAAACATGAAAATTAATAAATCAAATTATTGTTATTTTAATCTTAAGTCCATTTTTTTTATTTTATAGTTTATGAGTTGCCAGATGATTTGGGTGTAAAATCGTAAATCGTCAACTGATTTATGAAATCGTCATTAAATCGTTAAATCTATTTCCATTTATATAATATACATGTTTGAATGGTATTTTTACGATTATATAGTAATTATTTTAACTATCGAGAAATTTTTATCAATTTCGATAGATTTCAGTTTTGTTTGTTTATTTGTTTGTACTTTAAGTTTGCTTAGCTGCATCTGCAGCTAAGACTTCTTGGCCGAATCGAAAGATTATAACGCCAACACCAATTATTCCAGTACGACTGGACAGAATATGAAATTTTTGGTTCTCCACCATAATCAAAATAAAACATACACTTCAAAAACCCGTAACTCGGTACAGATATTTGGCGTCACATATTTGACCAAGGCGGTTCGAAACGTAAAACTCTAGAAGGCAGAGCAAATAGGATGGCCTGATTCCCCTTAAGCGATAATGCAAACGACGCACGACGATCTTCCTCCACCCAGAGCTGAATTACGAATGCATTTGTTTCTTATCTGTTTAATTTAGCAAATATGATTTAAAATACTTTTGAGTACTTTGTCTAAAATCACTACTCTCTTCCGAAAATCACTTAAACGCACATAAATCATTACTAAATATTGATATCGATACATTTTGCACAAATTTAGCTCTTATATACATAAATCACACTATAAAATTTTTTCACGATCGGTCACCTCCAGAAAATCACTTGAATGCACAATATTCATTACCAAATAATGATATAGATACAGAATTTATCCAAAATTTTGTCTTTATATACATACATTAATGTTACTGTGGAATTTTTTTACGATCGGACCATAATTGGTCATAGCTCCCATACAAGGACCTCTTACGGAAATCTCTTAAACGCACATTACTCATTACCAAATAAAGCTATTGATACAAAATTTTGCACAAATATTAGTTTTGTATACAAAAATTTTATTTTAAGACTTGTTCACGATCGGGTGCGAACGGTCCTATACAAGGGTTCCTTCCGAAAATCACATAAACACACATTACTTATTACTATATTGACTGAAATATAGCTATTATATACAGAAATGTTACTTAAAGTTTTTTACGATCGGTCCATAAATAAATCTCCCATACTAGGTCATGCCCCGAAAATTTGAATTTCCTTAAATCTTTCACACAAATTATTAAATATCGCTAAAGCATATCTTAGGGCGCTTTAAAAATATAAAAGAAAATGGCGTTTGTAATGTTCAATAAATCTTGGAATTGCAACAGATTTAAGCTGTTTTATACCCTACATCACTTTAGTGGGGAGGGTATATTGGATTTGACCCTAGCTCCCATACAAAGTCCCCTTCAGAAAATTACTTGAATGTCCCAAATTAACTTATAAACACAAATATCGCGTTGAAATTCAGCACAATCAAATATTATGTAAATATAAATATATTCACAAAATTTTATCAAGCTTGGTCCATATTTGCCCCTAGCCCCCATATAAAGCCTCTTTCAGAAAATTAGTTTTTCATCCATAAATTGCTTAAAAGTATCGGAACAAGGGAATATTGAAGATAAATGCTTTATTATGAAAAATAAATCACATTTAATATTCATAACTGGTGTAGGGTATCATATGGTCGGCCACGCCCGACTATACTTTCTTACTTGTTTAATCTTGGGGGTTTTCTATTTAAGACATGAGAAAACTTATTTCTACAAATATTTGATCAATTAAAAAAGTATTAATATAAAAGTAGCTGGTAGAGGGTATTTAAGATTCGGCTCAGCCGAATATAGCACTCTAACTTGTTATATATTATTATACCCTACACCACTTTAGTGGGGAGGGTATATTGGATTTGTGCTGATGTTTGTAACATACAAAAATATTCGTCCTAGACCCACCTTAAAGTATACCAATCGGCTTAGAATCGTTTTCTGAGTCGATTAAGCTATGTCCGTCCGTCCGTCTGGCTGGCTGGCTGTCCATGTAAACATTGTGCGCAAGCTACAGATCGCAATTTTTAAGATAATTGGATGAAATTTGGCACGCACGTTTTATTTGACCCAAGGACGAAGCCTATTGAAAATGGTTAAAATCGGTCCATTATTTCACCTAGCCCCCATAGAACAGAACCCCCCGAAAAGGGCTTCTGAGCTCATAATTATGTTAAATATACAGATATATCGATAAAATACGGCACAACTAAGTTTTATAGAAGTCTTGATAACCCTGCCAAATTTCATAAAGATCGGGCCCCATTTGACCCTAGCTCCCATACAAAGTCCCCTTCAGAAAATTACTTGAATGTCCCAAATTAGCTTATAAACACAAATATCGCGATGAAATTCATCACAATAAAATATTATGTAAATATAAATATATTCACAAAATTTTATCGGGCTTGGTCAATATTTGCCCCTAGCCCCCATATAAAGCCTCTTTCAGAAAATTAGTTTTTCATCCATAAATTGCTTAAATGTATCGGAACAAGGGAATATTGAAGATAAATGCGATATTATGAAAAATAAATCACATTTAATATTCATAACTGGTGTAGGGTATCATATGGTCGGCCACGCCGACTATACTTTCTTACTTGTTTTAATTGTTGTTGTATTTGAAAAATACCCGTTACCCATATAAATATTTTAACGCAACACACGTTGTTCATCCAGAACACACATATTTATTTTCTATTGGCCAGTGAAGCGCACAACGCATTATAGCCCAGCGAAAAAAGTGTGGATAAATATGTATAAATTTTCATCACAACTAGTAACCCGAAGTGCTTCAAATTCAGGTGAAAAACCTATGAATTTCACTTTAGCGCTTCATTGGAGGGATGTTGTTCATTTTTGACAACTTTGAACTACATCTAATCTTATCTTTAGAAGCTGTAAAAATCCGATATTTGTATTCTTCATACATTCTTTCAATTTCATTTGTTTTTCAGCAAAATTTGAAGTACTTCGAATATGTTGTTTGTAGTGACTTTTCTACATCTCTTTCCTAATTTTTAACTGTGTCTTCATTTGCAAGGATATGTTGAAAAATATCCATTCGCATTTTTAGATGTGATTAAGATGTCGTTTGTAAAGTATGACATCAATTATTTTTTGCTGGGAGGGAATAAAATCATTCTACTGCCGTACCGTTCGTTTTACGTTAATCATTTGATCAATGGACATACTATAAAACATTATAATGTTTAATTTTATTAACATTTTCATTGGGTATTCTAAATACATCGATTTTCTTCCAAATTTTAGATAGAAAAATGATAAATTGTATTAAAATTAGTATAAAAACCCTATTTTAAAAAATCATCAAATTTAGAGTTAAAATCGTCAATAGGCCATTTTTGACAGTGAAAATCGTCAAAATGACGATAAATCGTCAAATCTGGCAATAGTGGTTGAAAGTACGATAGAGTCCGAACGGAAAGAGCTAGAGAGTTGAAATTTCCAAAATTAGTTCTTATAGGCAAGGTTTGTTTGGTATTGAAAATGGATAATATCGGTCCACGTTTTCGCATAGTCCCTATAAAAATGGCCCCCGAAAAACAGCTTTAAAAGTCATTACTGTTTTAAAAATGCCAGTATACCGATGAAATTCGACATAAATAAGTTTTATATCAGCCAAATTCTCTATACCAAATTTTATGAGGATCGGTCCATAATTAATCCTATCCCTCATATATGGTACCCCTTAAAAAATGACTTTAACATCCAGGATCTTTTTCAAATAAGTGTAACTTTTCATCTATTGGTCCTATCAAAAATTGCCCAAAGGTGTTTCTTCTTCAACGAAATTATGATTCCCTTTACTCAATAAACGCTATTTCCTCTAGTCTTCTTCCACAACCTATTTTCATAGTTCCACAATACACTGCATTAGTACTGGTCATAAAAGTATAATTATCAAACATTTTTGGTTTCGCTTTTACAACAAATATTTGGCCAAATAATGATAAAAATTATGAAAATTTATACGAACATCCTGTTTTAAAAATCGTGAAATTTAGAGTTAAAATCAATGGCTAATTTTTGACACTAAAAATTTTCAAATCTGGCAACAGTGTATATAAGGCTATTTTGTAAACAACAAAGCATGAACATTCACATCATATAGTGTTATAGCGTCCATGGACATTATGATATTATTAAAAGTGTTATAATGTGCATGAACTATTTTCCCGCCTTAAATTTCTTAAACTTTAGTGTATGTTGTATATTGGATTTCTTAAAATAAGTGTCCTTGGCGCTTTGTCCGCCACAGAGGGTCAAGTATGTACCGATCCCTATAGAATTTGGAAAACAATTTCAATTCGTATAAATCATGTTCAAGTCTAATTTCATCGCTGTACTCGTATTATTAAGCCAGTAATGATCGTTTAAGTATTCTGATGGGGACCTTATATGGGTGGCAGGGTGAATTTTGGACTGATATTCATAAAATGTTGCTCCAAACATCTTCATTCGTATAAAACTTGTTTATATCAAATTTTATCGCTGTACTCGTATTTAAAGCCAGTAATGAGCGTTAAAGTAATTTTCTTAAGGAGCATAGGGTTAATTATGAACCGAAATTCATAAAATATGGTATGGTTTATGTCGAATTTCATTTGTACTCATAGTTTTAAGCAGTAATGAGGCGTTAAAGTAATTTTCTGAAGGGAATGGGGGTAGGTTCATTTATGGGCGGATCATCATAAAATTTGCGTATAAGATATGAGTGTTAAAACAATTTTCTGAAGGGGACCTTATATGTGGATAGGGTAAATTATGGATCGATCCTCATACAATTTGGTAGGTGTAAAACTTCTTTATGTCGAATTTCATCGCTTAACAGTTATGACTGTTAAAACTGTTTATATTTTGTTTATTGTATTTGTGGGAAATTTTAACACTTTACCTCTTTCCTTTCGGACCCTATCATGCTTTCAACATACAGACGGACGGACATGGCTAGATTGTCGTAGAATTTAATAAGGAGTGTATATACTTTTGTGTTTCTATGGCCAATATTTCGATGCGTTACAAACGGAATGACAAAATCAATATACCCACCATCTTTTTAGATGGTGAGTATAAAAATTAGGAAGATATGTACCACGAAAAATATATCTAAATAAATGTTCTAAATTTTAACATCACAACGTTTTCGTTATTGCAGAAAAAGAACTTATCCACAAAAGAAATAACAGATGAAGAAAAACACATTGATATCCCTTCAAATCCAGGAGCTTTAATATCTGCTGGCTTTGAAGTTTCTGCTATCGTTAAGGATTATGCCACGGTCGTTAACACAATTGATCATCAAAATAACGATTTGGTAAATTTTGATTCAATACCACCAAACTATACTGAAATAACATCTTCGGATCCAGCAACATCCCTTGACTCGAATTCTGATCAGAAACATCTGCTAAATGATGGGAGACAACGACTTACATGCAATAAAAATTTTTCAACAAATGAATCCGACTACAATATTTATAAATGTGAAAAAGGGTAAGTGAAAATTTCAAAATAAGTTTAAGAGATTAAACAAACACATTCCATTTAAAAAATACCTCATATATTGAATATATCCTACCATACGATACCCTCCACCAGTAAGTATGTTAAAATCGTGCGCTATTTGTTATTTAATTTTTTACATATGTATGTACATACACTGGCGATCAAATGTGAGTGCATATTTGTAATTTAATACCAAGGAATATTTATATATAAATATTCCTATATATATACATATATACACATACATATGTATGTATATAATATTTGTACATATTTAACAGAATGAATTACAATTTAAACCAAGAAGACAAAAATTTTTAAGTAAAAAAGAAACAAAACTAAAATAAGTCTTTTAGGTCACTTTTCTATAAATTTTTCTTTATTATATTTGAAATACTCACCCACTCACGCTAAACCCGTTGCTAAAGCTCCTTCAAATTTGATGGGGTTACTACGTATTGTCCCAACCGTCATTTCTGGCTTCAGCACAAATTTAAAATAGGATTGAGATCGTGGCTTATAGCTACTTCTACATCAATACAAATTTTTGCTGGTAACATGTGCTAATGTCGCCTTTTCTCTACCACAGGATTGGTAGACTGAGTCAGCAAAATTGAAATGATGAGTCTACAAAATACTCAGATATTCTTGTTCGCTCGATTATTTGCATTGGTCCAAGGTGGCACTGTGTAAACCAATCACACGCCATAATCGTATTTTACTGTTTCCTTGCTGTGCCTTTGATTTCTTTTCCCATGGCGGAGGCAGCCGTTTTGAAAGAATCAACGACTTTTTATCATCCTAAATTCTACTGAATAATATCAGCTGGATGACGATCCAAAGCACGCTCGTGAAAATGGCTTAACGAGCAAAATTTTCTATTTTCTATTATCCAGTTCTAAGTCTAGACCGCAATACACAAACTTCTTTGTATTTTGAAGACAATGGGTTCACCGTGAGTGGGGTCGCAGTGTTGTTTAATTTTTACTTAGAAATTTTTGCTTTTTAGATTAAATTGTAATTCATTTTGTTAAATATTATGTAAAAAAGCAAATTGATTTCTCTCTCAAGAGTTATTAATCCGAGCGAAATAAATTTTGTACTTTATTGTGAATATTTCTTTTTTTTTCCTGAGTTTTAATAATAAATTTCACGAGAAATATTTAAATTTAAAGAGCAGAAAACAAGTATCCCTCATGAATAGAGTACAAATGAATTTACTCGTTAAACTGACACCATTCTTGCCGGACTTGACGGTGTTTTTGCATATTTAGATGACGTCATTATTGCATCGACGACAACGCAGAAAAATGCAATTAAAGTGAAGGAAGTTATAAAACATTTTAAATAACATGGTCTTACGATTCGTTGGGAAAAATGTGAAATTTTGAAACCATCAGTTAAATATCTTGGACATGTGATTGACAGCAAGGGCATTCACTCAGATCCTTCCTTGAACCCTTGAATCAATTTAAAATATTCCACGCCCCTGAACTTCGTAAATTTTCAGATGTCATTAATTACTGTGTTAAGTTTATCAACCAAATGGGTGACATCCGTCACCCACTGGATAATTAATTGAAGAATAAAGTAAAGTGGGATTGGACGAAAGAGTGCGAATCATCATTTCGGGAGTTTAAAAGACTACTATAGTCAAAACTATTGCTGACACACTATGACTCCAAACTTCCTATTTTTGTTGCTGCGGACACATCCACAGTAGGAATTGGAACACAGATTTTTCATTAAATGCCAGATGGTACACAAAAAGCTATTTATCACGTTTCAAGAGCACTCATGCCAGCTGAAAAAAAAAGCACAGCCAGATTGAAAAGGAAGCATTAGCGTTGGTTTATGAATGTATGTATGAATGTATGATTTATGGACGCAGTTTTACGTTATTAACAGACCATAAACTTCTACTTTCCATCTTCGGCTCCAAAAAGGGTATACCTACACACACTGTAAATCGTTTGCAAAGATGGGCCCTTATTATGATGACTTATTACTTTAAAATTCAGTATGTAAACACAAACGACTTCGGAAATGTCGACATATTTTCCCGTTTGATCAACAATCAACCCCAGAACGAAGAGTTCGTGTTAGCAGTTGTGCAAACAGAAGACGATTTACAATTTTTACTGCAGGACAACATTAAGTACATTCCAGTAATACATAAAATGGTTAGTATCGCTACAACCAAGGACACTACGCTACGAAAGATGATTCAATATATACATGACGGATGGCCTAGCTCATTGAAAATGATACCATCGTATATTGAGAGTTACTACAACCGTAGAGAATCTTTGTCAATTGTTGACAATTGTATTATAAACGGATACTTAGACAACTCCACAAAGGTCATCAAGGCGTCGAACGTAAGAAGAGTCTATCTAGATCGTATGTTTATTGGCCTAAGATTAATGCCGAAATTTCAGAGTTTGTAAAGCAGTGTCAGAATTGTGCAATGTCAGCCAAGGCACCAGCAAAGCCTTTACATAGTTCATGGCCAACACCAAATGAAGTTCTAGATCGAATACACATCGATATTGCAGGATCATATTGGTAGATGTTTTTTTCTAAGTGGTCAGAAGTTGCGCAAATCTCGACAATTTCATCAAAGGAAGTTACAAATCACGTTCACGAGTTTATCAGTCGTTATGGTCAACCAAAGTTCATCGTGTCTGATAACGGAACACAATTCGTCAGCACACTTTTCAAACAATTTTGCGAAGAGAGAGGAATACATCACATATGCTCACCTCCGTATCAATCCTAATCCAAAGGGCAAGCAGAACGCTTCGTGGACATCATAAAGAAGGCTCTTGAAAAATCATACTCAGATGACTCTTCAGACGACAAGATAAACTTGTTAAACTTTCTCTCACAATACAGAGCAACTCCAAATCCAAGTGCTCCTAATGGTAAAAGTAAATCTGAATGTTTCATTGGTAGACGTCTCCAAACACCTCTGGACCTTCTAAAGCCAGCTTCAGTTGAAAAGCGGAACATTGCAATGGAACAAGCTTACAATATTAAACATGGAGATCGTCACGTAGTTTCAAGCCAAGCGATAAAGCTTATGCCCAAGTTTTTGACAGAAATAAAATGTCTTGAACATCCGGTGAAATCATAGAATGAGTTGGCGACGTAATCTACAACGTACTGTTATCAATACCTAGACGAAATACACTTATTAGATCTCATGTAAACCAGTTACGAGAACGATTTTCAGATGAAGTTTGAACGACATATTCACTTGAGGAATTCGATACATCAGAAGCAGTCACTACACTCACTGAACAGCCGTTGGAACAGGAAATCGACACATCCTCATCGTGCTCCTAGACGTTACTCTCCATCTTAAAAATAGGGAGATGTTGGCAACAGCCAAAAAAATTATTAATGATCTGGCAGCCCCAGATATTTTGAAATAAACGAATATAATTTTGTTTTCCTTTATGTTACTTTAGTTCTTAAACCTACCTTGATAATAAACATCGTTATTAGAAATTGTCTTTTGTTTTAATTATAATTGTACCAACGTACAATCACAGTTACAATTAGTTCCCGGGCAGCAAATCGTAACTAAGCCGAAGATCTTACTTTGTACTAATACCGTATCCGAAATCAGTAGTTAACCGACCGAGATCCGAAGCATCTATCTCGCCGGATAATAGTCCATAGTTAGTCTTAACTAATAAACCGTAGTTAAGCGATTGAGAACTGAAGCATTTATCTCAACCAATTGTATAACATTCGTATTATCCCATTAATAGTAGTTAGCAGGCCGAGAGCCGAAGAAATTTAGTTTATTCTAAAAAACTTTGGCCTGACGACAATATTTGGTGAGCTGGATCAGAGGATAAAAAAGTCCTTTTTTAAGGTTTTTATGATTTTTTCACTTTTCTAGAAAATAAATAAGAAAGGTCTTTGAGAGATGATTTCAATGACATAACACAAAATTGTATACATATCCAAAATTATTACGAATGTCTTAATTTTTCGAAATTTTTTTTGTTTAATTTTTACATAGAATTATATAATGTAACTAATTGAAATTTTTTCATTATAAACCTCATACAATTTCACTGAAATGGTTTTTTCTGTTTTTCGAAATTCGTTATATTTTGTATTTTATTTTAATATTTTAAACTCTATTTTGTCCCAGGTATTCTGCTAGCTATATTTATCCAACGTACTTAATATGTACATCAGCATACGCGTAATTTCATTAGCTTTACAATGGTATATAACACTTTATGGTTTCATTCTATTATCAATGAAATTTTTGATATTATCAATAAAATTTTTCACAATTTATCCCAAACATCTACTTATTTGTTATGCTTGCTTTATAAATAATGGTTTCTATGTTATTGTTTACATTATTTTGGTTGCGTACATAGTCTTCGATAAATTTAAATAAAATTTAATCTAGATTGAATTTTGAAAAACGGAAAAACCCGTTTCGGTAGATTTTATTGAGGATTATTGTGTGTTAATTCCAACGAATTATATTAAATTCCTCTATATTAAAATGTTAAAAATCTGAAAATTTTACGAAAAATTCGAAAATTTCCATTATTTTTACTGCTATACAAAAAGAGTCTCTCAAGAGTTATTAATCCGAGCGAAATAAATTTTGTACTTTATTGTGAATATTTATTTTTTTTCCTGAGTTTTAATAATAAATTTCACGAGAAATATTTAAATTTAAAGAGCAGAAAACAAGTATCCCTCATGAATAGAGTACAAATGAATTTACTCGTTAAACTGACAACATTCTTGCGATTGACAGCAAGGGCATTCACTCAGATCCTTCCTTGAACCCTTGAATCAATTTAAAATATTCCACGCCCCTGAACTTCGTAAATTTTCAGATGTCATTAATTACTATGTTAAGTTTATCAACCAAATGGGTGACATCCGTCACCCACTGGATAATTAATTGAAGAATAAAGTAAAGTGGTATTGGACGAAAG